ACTCATGGTGGCATGTAGAGAGCATGGTGTTAAAAATAGAGTATATCTGAATGAAAGCTTGCAAGTCAGTTCTTGGCAAAATGCAGTCTGACATAGCTCCTAGTCTCTTTCTCTCTCTCTGATGTAGGCATTTCCTTCCAATGTTTCCCCCTCTTCTAGAAATGACATCATTGTAGCCTTGTAGGAAATAAGGTAATATAAATAATTCCCTTTTTCGGTGATACTTTGCAGTGAACACAAAGAACTAAAGAGCTTACTATTGTACTTTGAAGGAACACAGATGTGTGCCTAGTTTTTCCAGTAATGCTGTTTCAGAAATTGCATTCATTCATTTGGTAATACTTGATTGCTTGACTAAAGGATGTTATGTTTTATCATGTTTTTATTTATGCATGTTTATGATACTGCAACAGAGCATAAGGAATATGCTGTTTCATATGGACTTTTTGGTTATAGTTGATATTTATTTAGGAATAACCACAGGTCTTTTCATGTGCTTCTGGTATGTAGAACAATCTTGGATAGAATGAGGAGTGAGATTATTCCATTGCCCAGTTCCCAATATCATGTCCTCTACTGATCCTGCCCTCTGGTTGTCCATGTATTTAATATGGAAATTGGCAAAGGGGTGTCTACGCTTGAGCAGCAGCTTGCGTGTAGGCAGTCTAAAAGATTGGGATCCCCATTGCATTTTCTTGCATGTGCTTAAGTAACTGCTCATAGGAGAACCTTCTTTAATCAGATGTGGATAGTCAGTGAAGGGGAAAATAGTATGGGAGAAACACTGGGGTAGGGCCCTGTTGTATCCGTGACTTTCCTATGTAAGAGAAGTGCTCAAGCACCTTTCATATTTGGTGGAGAATGGTGTAAACTGTCTAGTTCAATTTCCAATCCTTCCCAGCTCTTTTTATCACCCCAGAACAGGTTTGATGAATAGCCCCTGATAGCTAGTTCTCCCCACCCAAGCAAAGTGTCAGACCTGGTTCCCACTCAGTTGAGAATCAGGCTAAGTAATGCAAATCAAAAGCATTCTCAAGTCATAGCTTGCTGAGAAGATGATCAGTAGATCATCATGTGACTTATTTAATTAAATAAATTTATTTCATTTTCATGAAGACTTACCTTCATTCTCAAGGTCAGTAGCTGCTGACAATAAAAATATTCTCCTATTTGAGGAGTCCAAACTGCTTCCCATTAACAAAATGTTTGCCATGTTGGGCATAGCCAGTCACAAAACACCCATTTCTCAGAAAGCAAAGTGATGAGGCTAAAAGAAAAGTGACTTTCCCAAGACCTTTTAAGATCAGGAGGGGCTAGGAAACCAAGTTGGGTACTCCAGTAAGAATGTAGATTAGGGAGAACAAATATTACATGTGGCTAAAATGCAAAGATGACTATATCAACTCAGTATAAAGAACAACTATAAATTAATAAGTGTGTAGCGAAGCCTAATAAAAACCCCCGATGTGACTTCTCTATATACTAATTTACATATATTTTGTCTATGCTGTTAATTTACATATATTTTTTTCTACAGGTTTTCATTTTTATTAATATTGTATGACTTTCATGAAACTTTCTAGGGATGCCATCAACAGCTCCTCTTCCCAAATTTGATAGCTTGGATAAAATGATTATAAGGTGTTCCAAAACCAGTACTGTACCTCCAGACTGGTTTTATAAAAAATCTGTGTCTAAGAAACAAGTGAGCAAATGAAACATCATGCCAGCTCAGAATTTTTTATTGCAACTTGTATTAGGTGACTTGTTCTAACCATCTATGACTTGTGGCTATGGTCTCACCAACCATATTCTTAGATTAGTTTGGAAACCATTTACCCTTGTATATTGTAAAATTAAAGAGAAGGTGTGCCAGGCATAAAAGAAATCACTCCCTTTGTTGTGATAATTTTTTATTGCAGTTATCTTCAGAAAACTTAGAATTTTATCTAGAATGCTTGGATTTTAGAAAGTTCTACTGTATTAGTTTCAGTTTAATATTTCTAAGCATTAATCTGACAGCATAGCATACAATTAACTAAAAAGTTCAGCATTCAAAAGTATTTCTTGTTTGATTTATGTATGTATCTATTTGGAGAATTTTTCTTCTGACATTCTCCTATTTAACAACTATTTAAAGGTGCCTTTTTATCCTATAATATAATTCAGTACATCACAAGGTAAAATGGCTTATTTAATAACTGGGTAAGCTAAGCAGTTAGGAATCTGGGAAAGGGACTAGAACTGCAATTGAATTGAATCACAATAGATGCAATATAGCCAAAGCTGAACTCCTTAAAAGCACTATTGTTTTCAGTGAGAAAGTCACATACATGCTTAACTCATGGGACTTATGTAGCAAACCTTAGTACTGGGGTTGGTCAAGCAGATCTACATTGCTTCCACTGCCCCATTCATAGCCCTGTTGTCCATCAGCAGCTAGGGCAGGAAGATAAAAGGAAGGTGTGCATTTGGAGTTCAAGGTCCTGGGCTACATCCTGACTTGTAATGGCCTCTTCCATGGATACTCAACCTCATTGTCAATTCCCAGCAAGGCCAGCAGTGATGAGTAAACTTCCTGCTGCTTCACCAGGAAGGGAAGGTTTCTCCCATCGACTTTCCTCTCCTCATACAGGGAGAGAGGTCTAAATCATCGGTGACCTCTCAGCCACACCTTCAGGATACACAGAATCATGCCTTAGTTTGGCTGGGTCATGGCCAATATTCTTAGTATCTACAAACTGATAACTCCATGGATGGTGTATAGTTTGTCCCCTTGATTTAATTTTACATAATTTTAGTTACAGGAGGACTGAAACCAATAGAGATATCATGGAAGTGATGAATAGTGGATTTTACCTGTAATAGTTCCATGGTTATAAAATGAAGCTCAGTTACACAATAATTTTTAATTCTCTTCTAAAATATGAACCATTGCAAGTATTTGATATTCAAAGATGAAAGTAAGGTTTGATTTAGTCAAGTCTGACCTTCTCATGGTATGAGTTTGCAGTTCAGTGAACATTTTAATGCTTAACATCTGCACCACAATATCTGAATGTCATTTTAAGCTTGATTGTTCTAATATCTATGGATGGTAAATTCTTTATTTAATTTATTCAGTTATGGTTAAATTTGCAATTCACTCGGCAAAGATCCAGAGAACAAAAACAACACTGTTGTCAAGCTAACTAATCCCACAAAGCATGAGTTTTCAATACTGAATATCTAGAACAGGCAAACTACTTTTTCTAAGAAGAAGGAAAATATAAATGTCCCAGTCTTGAAGTAGTTTAAAGTGTTTTATTTATATATTTAATTTCTCTACCACTCTAATTGCTCCCTGGACAGTTTAAAGTCATTCCTAGAAACAAGACATAATACAATAAAAACATGTTCTGCACTACAAAATTTTAAGACACTTTAAAAATTAGTTTATCACCAGTCTGATTAGGCGTGTTAAAAACATGGGTGCCTCCATCAAGCTGTTAAACTTAGATACCTCTCCTCAGAGAGGGTTGTTTCGGCCTGGTGCTGAAATGGTAACACAGGTGGTCCTCGGTGAGGAGATCTTTCCAAAGTTGGAGGGTCCTCACAGAGAAGGCCCTCCTACTTGTAGCTACCTTCTGATCCTCCAGATGTTAAAACCCAATCCAGTAAGAAAAAAACATGTGGGTAAGTGGGGTAAGCGATTGACTCAAGACCATCTACTGAGTTTTATGACTAAATGATTATTTTGTTTCTGGGACTCAATGGATCAAAGTGAGGGCACTATCTGTATATCAGAAATGGGCAGAAAGCAGATCATCAGATGCTTTGGACTTCAAAATGCAGCATTCCTGACCATTGACTATATTGTCAGAGGCTTCTTAGGAGTCCCAAACATCATGCGATATTTCTTCTGCATATCCCCAAAGTGTGCTACACTGGAGCAAGAGCCACCCACTTTCTGTGCTGCAGTAGGCAAGAAAAAGAGGAGGAGAAAGGGGAAGGGTCTGCCTTTACATGGAGAATAAGTCCATCAGTGGCTAGCAGGCATGGTGACCCAGCTGGCACAATTGCAGGGTAGTTAATAAGGCACTTACTAATGCTGCATGTGGTGGGAGGTGGAATTAGCATAATTACCTCTGGTACACTGGCTTCCTGTGTAGTGTGAACCTAGCCAAGGTGACTTGTGACGATAGCTGACAAGTTATCCAGAACCCATGGGCTGTAGTAGGCTTATTTTCCTTGCCACAATTGTGTGAACAGGCCTGATGGCAATAAGTGTTCCCCAGGTTTAGAAGCACGATGCTGCTCTACAACAGTGGCTGAAGCAGCAATAGGAAAAGCTTTTGTGTTCATGTGTTGCTTGTGGACTTTCCAGAAGCGTTTCATTGGCTGCTTTATGGAAAATAGACCACTGATGTTATCCAGTAACATGGTTCTCTTCTTCCCTTTAAAGCCAGACTAGGTCAGGGCCAAATCTGCTTTGAGTAACTGGATTTAGCAGAGAAAGAGGTGTCGAAGGAGGATAGGAAATGTAACAGTACTGTAAGAGGACTTGTATGCCAAAACAGTTGGCCTATAATGAATTTAATCCTTCTATTTCTCAATTCACCCATAAAACTGCACGGCCCTTACTATATCCTTGAATTGCAACACCAGGGTGTCCAAACTACGAAGTTAACAAAATTAACAAGTAAACATGGAGTGGAAAAGGGGTGAATGGGAAAGTATGGAGACATAATTTGTTGAGCCGAATGGTAGGCTTGTTAACAACCTGAAAGTATTTCCTGGGGACAAGGAAGCATTCCAAGACTGTGGTTTAAAATGATTACACAAATATATAATTTTTAAATATCTCTAATCTTTGGGTATCCTTTGCATCAAAATCCCCAGAGGTTAATTATTATAATGAAGAAATACAGATGCAAAATTAATGTGCCATCACTTGTCCAAACACCTTCATTGTGTATATTTGTTAAGTTAATAGTACTTGTCATATTTTTTTCTTACAGATTATATCCAGAAGGATTTCAAATCCATATCTAGAAAATCCTCCCAGCAAGGTATTGCTATTTTTTAAAAATCTCATTAACAACTGGGCATAGTTGTTAGCAGTGCTTTTTTTGGAAGGAAAAAAGTGCCAGAACTCATGAAATTATTTACCTTTCGCACGTAGTCGGTCACTGTACACACACCCACACGCATCAGTTGTGTAATGAAACATAACGGTTGCCACCTGCAGTAAGCGCTCAGCGCGCGACCACATGACCAGTCACAAGCCGAGCAGCGCCATCACAATCAGCGCAGACGAAATACGCATGCATCGGACTCGACACACAGGCAGCCCGCATGCACCGTTTTAATGATTTTGCCGCCAACCCGCTATGCTCGACAGGGCGATTCAAATCCACGTGGACCAAACATCAACTTTTCAAAAGTTACTTTTAAAACTTGGAAAATCTGTCGAAAAAAGGTGCCAGAACTCCATCCCGGTGCATTCTATGACAAAAAAAATCACTGGTTGTTAGAATGTTTGACTGAGACTCAGGAGATCCAGCTGCTAGTTCCTACTCAGCCACAAAGTTCACTGAGTGACTCTGGGCCAGACAGTGACTCTCACCCTAATAACTTCACAGGGTTGTTGTAAAGCTAAAATGGAAAGGAGGAGGATTATGTACACCATCTAGGGTGGCTTACTTCAGTATAAATATAATAATTAAATAATAATAATTATTATTATTATAACATTTCTATGCCGCCCCTTGCCGAAGCCTCGGGGCGGCTTACAACACAATAAAATACATTGAGATACAATAGAACATAATAAATTACCATTAAATACAAAAATACAAAAAATACACTGAGTTTCAAACATAATAATATAAAATTAAAAATAACAGTATAAAATAAGTAAATAAATAATATAGGAGGAGAAAAGAGAAGGAAGAAGAAGTTGCCCTGGCCAGATCATATATTTTAACAATTAAAATGATGTTTAAATAAAAAGGTACTCCTAAATAAGTACTCCTAAAACTATTGTTTCCTGCCTTCATTTTTGGGCTATTTTATTAATGATAAGTGCATTTGTTTATCTTTCAGCCTGTAACAGCTATGTGCATCAAAGTTTTCTAATCTAAACAGTTTTTAATTTAGCTGTTAAGGAATTTCATATTCAGAAACAAATAGTTCAGTGAAATCATGCTTGTACTTGTTAGTCGTGTTCTGTAACTTTTATGTAGTGCTAATGCTATAACCTTGTATGCCTGCATAATTCATGGTTTGCCCATTTTTTTTTTTTTTTTTTTAGATTTATGGAGAGAGTGCTTCATGTGCTGGGAGAGCACTCAGAAATGTTTTCATTCTACAAGCTTCTGATTTGTTGAAAGACAGAATGTCTCTGATGGGACTTTGCAGGTAACCTTATTTCCTTGTTTTAACAAAGCATAGCTTCCCCATTGCTGTCCATCCAACCTTCCCGTCATGCAGCTGGCTTAGGGACTGAGTGTATTTGCCGTGGCAGATTTCTTTCTGGAACCAGGAGCACAACTTTTACCCTTATCTTGAAATTTTCTGGTTTGCACTCAATTTGCCAGTCTCCTGTTTTCCATGTCAGTGTCCACCATGGAAATATTCATGTACTCAAGGCTCCCCAATGGAATGCCTTCATCGTTAATTTTTATGGATGCTTTATGCTGTAATCATTTGTGTGTGCTTTGGCATTTCTGGAAAAAATACAGTACCTATTGAGACATAGTTCTGGTTAAATATGTTCTCTCTAATCTAGTATAGTGGTTTATCTCATTTCCTGAAAAAAAGCACTTTACTTGAAATGGAAAGGTCCTTACTGTGTGAATAAGTGATCTGTGACTGATTTTCAAATATGTATTTTTATTGTATAGGAGTGAACAAATGGAAAAAATAGCCATAAGAATCTGCCCTCAGGGAGGCAGTGTAGTAAAGTTTGTGCCTTTACCAGTGGCTCTTATCTATCGCTACAAATGCTGTTATTGTAGTTGATAGCATTTGGTTTGTGTTCCCTGCGCAGTTATTCTAAGACTAATCCCCAGAGCATTTGAAAACAAAATTAAAAATAGCTGCCTAAGCCTACAGCATATTGGCCTTTCTCTTTCATAACAAATAATTTCAAATTGGCTAAACTACAACCCAATTCTTTGTATGAATTATTGGGTTAAAATAGCATGTGGATTCATTATTTTTTCATACTTAAAAGTGATCTTGTGACTTCTCAATTGCTCTGAGATACAGTGAATTCCAATAACAAGAAAAGATTGGGGTGTTGTGATCTTCTGTCTGCACAACTCTGATACATTCAGATAACAGGTCAGGCTATCTTTATAGAAATCCATTATTCTTGCATAGTGTTTCCTCAACACCTTTTTACTTTGTTATAGTGTATCTGCATATTTTGATATATTGTGAAGTAAATGCATTTTGGGGGCAGCTCTTCTAAACCAGGGCCTGGAAAATGTCACATGCCTCTCATTTTCAGAAGACTTCTGCATGGAATCATTTCTAATCTCTGGCAAGAGCTCTGTTCCTTCCCTGGCACCCTACTGCATGGGAAAGAAGAGGAAGAGATAAAAGAGCTGGTGTGGTGTAGTAGTTAAGAGCATGTGATGGGAACTCAGGTGATCTGTGTTCTAGTCCCCGCTCAGCCATGGAGCCAACTGGGTGACTTTGGGCCAGCCACAGATTCTCAGTCCAACATACATCAGAAGGTTGTTGTTGTGGGGATAAGGTGGAGAGCAGGATGAGGAAAATGATGTAAGCTGCTCTGAGTTCATTATAAAAAAAAATCAGGCTATAAATCAAATAAATAAGGGGGTGACAAAAACAGAGAAAAAATAGAAGGTTATCTGAAAGCAAGGGAAGCAGGCACCAACCTGATACTAAGCAGGTTTGGGTCTGGTCAGTGCTAGGAACTACCTTGAGTTCCATGATAGAAGAAAGATGGGATGTAAAAGTATCAAACAAGGGTTGACCACCTGCTTTGGTACCTGGTCCTGTTCACTACCTGTTTCGGCCCCAGTCACTACCAATATGTGTTCCCTAACCAATACAAAGGTAGTGCAGAGAAAAAGGGCTGTTCACCTCTGGTCTAAACCTTGTATTTCCGCATGCATTCCTGTTTTAGGAAATGCACTGTTGATTATTGAAATTCCCCAAATATTTGTAGCCTAGTGCACTGGCTTCTTTTTATTGCCCTCATGTTTGCCCATAAGAGGGATGTGATGGCCACATTTTAAAGATGAGGGAAATTAAATAGATGGAGGCAGTTGAAAGAATTCTGAAGTGAGTTCTAAACTACTCAAATTATCTGAATAGATCAGCCTAGAAAGGCCAGTAGAAATTTATCCTGAAGAAATGCCTTACTGCAAATTGGCATAATGAAAATGATGCATAGGCTGGACTGCATGAAAGCTTTTGGACTGAAGGTTTAACTATTGTACTTGCAACACCAGCATCCAGTTTAATGGGATGTGCTGGAAATGGATGCTTCTGTTTTCACAAGTTACACTGTCACTTAAGGACTATGTAACTTCTGTATAGCACAGTGTGCTTTTTATTTTTTTTATTCAGCTATAGTTGGTACAGCTGTTGTGACCTGTGCTGGATAGGGATAGTCAGGCCATGGTTTCCTGTGATCTGTTAAACTGTTGTTTGGATTACTTGATTGTATTATATGTAGGACTGCCTTTCAGTACAGTTAAAAAGCCATTGGTAAGACAAAATGTAGCAGCTAGAATGTTTATTGTTCATTCTGACCATATTTCTGAATTACCACTTAAAAGAATGTTGCAAACATGAGTAGGAGAGACACACAAAAGAAGACATCTGCCTTTGACTGTGATCACATTTTGATATTCTCAACTTGTGGAGGCCAACAATCCAAAGAGGAGAGCCTCTTCCCTTTTGTGTTTCCCTAGTTTGGGATTAGAATACCTGAATAGGCTGTTGTGACATCAAGATTTTCATTAGTATATTTCCATCTCACCTTTTGCTTTTATATAGTACCCACGGCGGGTTAAATAGTTGTTGTTCTGGGGATAAAATGGAGTGGAGGACAACAACTCTTTATGGCAGGTGGAGATGAGAGTGAATGATGGGTCTAGAGTTATCCAGTGAACTTCATGGCCAAGTGGGGATTAAAACGTGGATCTCTCAAGTCCCCACTCTAATGTACTAATCACTACACTAATTCTCATTGTTTTAGGTGGTGTTTTAATCCTTCTGTGACATTGTTTCATGTACATCAAGATGCATGTGTATTCAGAAGTGAGCCCCGAAGTGCACTTATTCCTTTCTAAATGTGGTTCAGATTGCAGCCTCAGTCTTTCTTTACATCTTTCTTTGTTATTTTGTTAGGAGAAGCTGCATTGGATCTGAACTCGTAGACTGGCTTTTAAAATGCTGTCCTTTCATTAAGAGCAGATCTACAGCAGCTGGTGTCTGGCAGCTCCTGCTGAATATGGGAATTGTGTTATCAGGTCAGTTTTATCAAAGCAAGCCCAACCTGTTTTAGGAAAGTATTCAATTTCCTTTGCTGTCCTTGGGCATTAGATTTATGATGCTTACAAAGGAAGAGAGAAGAAGCCCAATATCTGGTGTAATCAAACTAGGCTTTTTCTGTGCTGCAATGGTGTATATTTTATTTCACATGTGATCTTTCATAACCTGAATAAATATGAGATATTTACTAAATATTTTACCCATGAAAATACTTGTCAGAATGTAATGGTGTTTGGGGTCTTTTTCAATTTGTTGCTGAATCCCCTGATCATTTCTCATCTAGGCTATTGCAATTCTTTTTATGTCGATTCTCCCTACTGGCACATCTGTTGTCCTCAGATAGCTTAGAATTACCTGTCTAATGTCTCTTCCGTTGCTGTGATTGTCTGCTCCATTCGTCAAAGCTTTCTGTTTCTTCTTTGTAAATTTCCTTCTTCCTTGGAGTAACAGTTAAAGCACTCTTGAGGCTCCATGGTTGACTGTAGCCTGTTTTGTACATACCCTTTACCCTGTGATAGCTGCATTAGAATGCAGTTTATTAAGACTGCTTCTACAGCAAACTGTTTGTGTGTAATTGGCCTTTCTGCAGTTCCAGTCATGCTAAAGTGGTCATTCTTTTTGGAACTGTTGGCATTGGCATTTTTGGTGTTGTATGTTACCATGCTTGCTGTGGACAAATATATCTAACATATCCACAACCGACAGGGAGAAATTAGCTTGAATGTGTGCTAAGTGCTGGATAGACAGTTATTTCAGATTTCTTACATTCTGTCTAGGTCACAGGGAATTGTCGCAATCCATGGAAGCTCTAAAACCTCACTGAACAGGGGATGGAGAGAGAGTAATGTGTGGAGAAGAAGAGGGAGCAAGGCTCCAATGAAAGGGAGAAAGGGAATATGGGAGATTTCAGTGAAGGGAACCTCATGGAAGGGAGCAGAACTCAGGAAAGGTGCAGAGGTATTTATAGACTTATGCCTTTACATCTCATTTTACCTGGAGGTGGGCGGCCCTAGAGGGGAGATCACCAGGTAGATGCAAATGAAGATATAGCTAAACAAAAAGATATCCATGAAGTGCATCTTGTGCTGATCAGAAATGTATGAAAAATGTACAGTCAAACTTTGATAGAAAGATGATAGATAAATATATATCACCTGGACCTAAACTTAGTTTGCAGTTGGAAGTCTGTACATTTCCAGGCTTGTGCTACATTTTAAATTATGTGCCCATTTGCAAAGAAAATTGTATGCATTTCCACATGCACTCATTGACGCTTTCGGGGGGGGGGGTCATGTGTCCAAAAATTCATACGTTCAAAAATGCTCACATTCAGAACAGTGGACATTAATGCATACATTAGGGAAAACACCTATGTGTTTTTGTGTGAATTTTTTTGTTAAATTGCAAGCTCATATGGAAGTGGAACAGAATGAGCTGGACCTCAAAAAGCTAGTAATTGTAGCAAGATGGAGATTTACAGATCTGGGGTTTTTTTTTTTTTTTGATGACTAATTTAGTGTTTGAACAGATTAGAATGTGAGATAAATCTGGTTTAACCCTTTGTGATCTCTGGAGGTGAATAGCTGATAGCTGAAGAGCTTCCTCTTTCAGTCCTCATTACTAGAATCTAAAGGGGAACTTGGCAGCTAGTTTACATGATGCAGCTGAGGCTTTTTTCCAGCTATATTCAGTAGCTAGATAATGTTTGCGTATAGTCTGATAATCTGTTTTCAGACAATGTTACTCTATAAAGGGACACATTAAAAATGGCAAAGCAACTTTGCTCTCTGGCAATAAATATGTAGGAACAATGTGAAGAGCTGCTGCTTCTGCTGCTGTTACTGCTGCTTTTTCATCACCATCACCCTCATTAACATCATCAGTTCATTTCTGTACTGCTTAATAGCAGGTGCTCTCTATCTACATCCTTTTTTCAACTGCTTAGTTAACGGAAATGGCTGTTGTAGTCTGTTATTCATGTACAGTCCAGTTCAAAGTGTGATTTTCTATGTGATCTATACTCAGAACAGTTCTTATGAAGAAAATGTGGTGTGTGTGTGTGTGTGTGTGTGTGTGTGAGAGAGAGAGAGAGAGAGAGAGAGAGAGAGAGAGAGAGAGAGAGAGAGAG